TTTTTTTTTTTTTTTTTTTTTTTTTTTTTTTTTTTTTTTTTTTTTTTTTTCTGGCTAAGAGTAATGAGAGTCAAAGTTGTCGGAAACATTTTATTTTCTTCATTTTAGGATCAGCAGTACCGGACAGTTTCTCCACCGATATAGTATTTTTGATAGATTCTTCATTTACTGTCACTGTGGATGATTATCTGAAGGAAAAGGAATTCGTCAAAAGGCTGGGAGACATACTAAATGTAGCTCCTGGGAAGTCTAGGGCGTCATTGATATCCTACGGCACAAACCCCGTGCGTGTTTTCAGCCTTGGACAGTACCAAACAACTAAAGATTTCAAGGACAGAGTAGATAGAGCACCTACTTTAGGAGGTTTAAGACGAATTGACAGAGCCTTTGCAGAATCAGCGAATGAACTAAAAAGGTCCCCAGACGGTGGGTCTAAAGTGGTCGTATTACTTACTGCTGGAAGACAAACACCAGGGGCCCAGGAGCTTGGAAGTGCTTCGAAACCTCTACGAGACCTCGGTGCAGCTGTTTATGCTGTTGCAATTGGCAGCCAGCCAGACAATCAAGAGCTTCTTCCCGCCGTTCAAAAACTTGAAAACATCTTCCGAGTCCCTTCATCTTCTGAACTGCCAAATATCTTGTGGGCAATATCAAAGAATATATCCGAAACGCCAAGTAAGACTAAGAAAAATTTTGCCATTACTTTATGTCATATACTTGATGATTATGTTATTAAAGCCGACTTTCAAAAGTACAGGGTATTGATATTTGTGAACACCATGTGTTTTTGGGAACAACGGTCTCGTGATTTGTTTAACGTATATTGTCAGTATTGACTGTGCTGTGTGCAGCGTGCAATCACTCATGCTCTTACAAAATCTAATCTCTTTTTGTTCGATCATAGGACCTACGCCAACAGATTTCAATGCAGACATACTTTTCATCATGGACGCTTCAGTCGACCCCAGAGACTACAGCAAGGAGAAGAACTTCGTAAAAGAGCTGGCAAGGCAAATGAACATTGTACCTGGCAAATCTAGGGCCTCTGTTTTAGCATACGGCACAAGTCCTTATCTTATTTCTAAGTTAGGAGGCTACACATCTATAGCTGACTTTGAGAGACTAGTAGATTCTGCTTTAACTTTGAGTGGTCCTCGACGCATCGATTCTGCATTACAAGTTGCACGTCTAGTATTTAACGAAGCGAGACCTAACATTCCAAAGATAGCTGTGTTAGTCACGGCAGGAAGGCAGGATCCAAATGGACCAAGACTCGATGCTGGTGCTGAGCGTCTTAGAAGAAGTGGGGTGAAAACATTTGTAGTCGCCATTGGAAGCACACCCGACTCTCGCGAACTTCAACCAGTCGTCGAAAAGCAAGAGGATATGTTTAGAATTTCTTCTTTTGACCAGTTATCACCCGAGACTCGTTCTGTGGCTGAGAAAATCATCAACCGCAAAAGTAAGTAAATTCAGCCTCAGGTAATGCACAAATGCGCACACATTTTGGACACACGAGTGGCGTAGCTTTCGCTTCTCATCAATGTGACCCGAGTTCGAATCCTGCCGGGTTCGGTGTCGCATGTGAATAGAGTTACTAGTTGGTTCCCTCCTGTGCTTCGAGGGTTTTTCTCCCTCCACAAAAAAAATCAACTTCTAAATTCCAATGGCAATTCAGTGGATCAATAGCCACTCAGTGGAAATGTCACTGTTAACTCCCATTAAAAAAAACACTGATCTTTCATTCCTTCTAGCACTAGAATATTGGTTGGTCATTGGTTATACTAAAAAACTGTTTAGCTTTTGGGAATTGAAAATTCAGACAAATCTGTAGATCCCTTTCCTTGATCAAATTGAAATTTAGCTATTTTGGTTTTTGAACAAATAGGAAAACGTACAGGGAAATTATTGGCGAAGAATTAATCTAAGAAAAGTCAGATTGTTTGTCACACATAACAATTGTTTTTGCTACTCACTGAAAGATTCCTTTTAAAAGTTTGACATCATTTTTTTCTGTTTTGTCATCAGCTGCTACAGTTCCATCCGACTTCTCCGCAGATGTTGTTTTCTTAGTCGACGGTTCTCTGTCTGTCAGCCAAAACCAGTTTGACCAAGAAAAAAGCTTTGTTAAGTCCATGGCAAAGACTCTCAACCTCTCTCCATCTCAGACAAGAGCTGCGTTTGTAACTTACAGTACACTTCCTAGAACCATCGCACAACTTCGTGGATACACAACCCAGCAATTTAACCAAATCGTTGACAGAGCTCCTGTACTTAGAGGCACGAGACGGGTCGACCTTGCCATTGATGAATCAGCTAGAATTCTAAAAACCAATGGACAGAAACAAAAGAAAATAGTGGTTTTGCTTACCGCAGGCCGTCAAACCCCAGGAAGCAAGTCTTTGAGAACAGCAGCACAGCCACTTCGAGACATCGGAGCTGATTTGTACGTCATGGCTATTGGATCGCTAGTGAACATCGAGGAATTACTGCCAGTTGTTGACAAACCAGAAGATATCTTCCGAATTCCTTCTCATGAAGTGTTGTCGGAGCAATTCAAGCCGATATCGGCAGAGATCGCAAAAAGAGCCGGTAAGTTTAACTTTACTTGTTGGATCTAGATCTAGAGCGCGTGTGTGTTTGTCATATCCCTATCATTGAGCCTATAAGAAAAAGGAAACAATGTTCAAGGGAATGTTATTCGGCCTAAAATGGGAAGGCCTTAGCAGTATCCGTTGTATATTTACTTATTACCGAAAAATTGAACAAGGAGTAGAAGCTTGGGTGTTAAAATCATATGCAACTGGTGCAAAGCAGTATGGCTACCTGTAAGACGACTTCTCGATAGGCGCGTAACGTTGTCCATGACAATAAGCAACTTCAGTTCTGTGTAGCTTTAGCTTCAAAATCCCGTAATATAAGGGGCATTTATAGTCTAGGTTGGTAAAGGGCGCACCTTCGAGCGTTTTATACATGAGTTACTGGCTCGGGACAATTGGGCAACCACTCTTCGAGTTTTCGAAGTAAAATATATTGCTTTTACCTACCTTTACCTCTTACTGCAAAAATTACCGACATGTTTCACAACCTTTTTTAAAACCAGGAACCAGATCGTTGGTACCAGAAGACTTCTCAGCTGAAATAGTATTCCTAGTCGATGCTTCAGTTACAGTTACTGCATCAAACTTTGAACTCGAGAAGGAATTCGTTAAAACGGCATCAAAAAGTCTGCAGGTCTCTCCAGACAAGACCCGCGCAGCTGTCATAGCATACAGCAACAACATAGAAAATGTTGTTGAACTCGGAAAATACCAGACTTTGGCTGATTTTGAGTTCAAAGTAGACAGTGCAAGACTTCTTGGAGGTGTAAGACGAATGGACAAAGCATTGGAAAGCGCTGCAGATACTCTTAAGAATTCTCGTCCAGGCGTTCCGAGACTGGTTGTATTATTGACCGCTGGACAGCAAATTCCAGGCGCAAGTTCACTAGATAGAGCAGTCCAGCCATTGAGGACGCTGGGTGCCCAGACTTTCGTTGTAGCCATTGGCAATCAGCCAGATACTCGAGAACTAGAAAAGGCCGTAGAAAGGCCTGAAGATCTGTTCAGAGTGGCAGGGTACGAGAAACTCCCTGGTGACGCCAACCGCATCGTTATTATTCTTTCTAGAAGAGCAAGTAAGTTATAAAAAATTACATAATATCACAGATTTAGCATGATTATGAAAAACCTAACTCTACGGACTTGCAACGCAGTGACCGTAAAAGTTTCTTGTTCTGAGCATTAGATTGGATGAACTCACTTTCGAACGAAAAAAAAAAACGATTGTCGTCAATTCCGTACCGTGTCAGTAAGCCAATCGTAAGCGTTTCACAGTCATAAGAAATCTGCTCTATAAGCTACTGTTTTATTGCCTTTCCGAATGGTTTCTATTGACTGTGTTAACTGTGTTCATTCATTTTTTTTTTTTTTTGTCTCTTTTTTTTTCTAGGCGTGCCACAACCAAAAGACTTTACTGCAGACATTGTATTTATGATAGACGCTTCTTCGTCCGTCAATCAAAATGATTACAGAACAGAAAAAGACTTTGTCAAAGCTCTCGCAAAACTGTTAAATGTTGCTCCGGGGAAATCCAGAGCATCGCTTGTAACCTATAGCAATGATCCAAGTGTGGTTTTCAAGCTCAACGGATACAGAAATACATTGGACTTTGAACAACAAATAGACAGGACACCCTTGCTAGGAGGATCAAGAAGGATGGACAAAGCTTTAGAAACCGCGGGAACAATTTTGAACGATGCCCGAAGAAATGCACCCAAGATTGCAGTTTTGCTAACAACTGGCAGACAAACCGCCGAGAGAGATACGAAATCACTTGACGAAGCAATAAAGCCATTAGATTCTGTTGGAGCCAAAACGTACGTTATCGCTATTGGCAAGAAGCCAGACATCCGGGAACTTAGTCTGGCGGTTAAGAAGATAGAAAATGTAATACAGGTGTATTCATTCCGAGATCTTCTTGCCAAAATACAACCTGCAGCGCAAAAAATGATCAAAGAAACTCGTAAGTGCAACAAAGTTTTCAATCATAGATAGAGTGAATGCCAAATACATCTGTGGGGGGGGGGGGGGATATGTATTGTCTAATTGCAGCTATTTTGCTGTTAGTCTTGTCTAAAATAGTGGATGTTATTGGAACAGTGTTTATGAAAACCACTCTAAGCGCTACATGGCTAGTAATTGTTTCACGGATATATGGTGTGCACTCTAAGTAAATACTTATGCCACAACACGTTAAGTCGTGCCATGACTTTGATCAGCCCAGAAGGTGTGGCTAAATTTTTAAAGTTTTCATCTTTGCATAATAAATACTTCAATATTGGTAAAGTGTTTCCGTGTGTTTCACACAATTATCAACCAAAACCTTTTTGCTATTCGTTTCAGAATCTGCGATTCCAGAACCACTTGATGCAGACATTGTCTTCTTGGTGGATTCGTCTTCCTTCGTTAGTTTTAGCAATTTTGAAAGAGAAAAATCCTTTGTCAAATCCTTGGCGCACTTCCTTAATGTGAACCCTGGAAAGTCAAGAGCATCTGTAGTTTCTTTTAGCGCGAGTCCACAGCTTATCTTTAAATTCTACGATTATAGATCTCAAAGAGAATTTAACACTTCGGTAGATGGAGTGCCGTACCTATCAGGAAGGTCAAGGAGAATCGACAAAGCTCTAGACGAAGCTGTTAATATCTTCAAAGAAGCTCGACCTGACGTAGCAAAGATCCTAGTTCTTCTAACATCTGGTGCCCAAACCCCTGAGCAAGGAGCTAAAGACCTACAAACTGCCTTTGAGCCATTGCGCAAGCAGGGCGTCAAGAATATGATCATTGCTGTTGGTAGTAATATCGATGGGAAAGAGTTTGAGAAAATTTTGGATCAACCAAAAGATCTGTTGAGAGTGAATTCGTTTGTGTCTTTGCTAACTCAAGGGAAAGATATCAGTGATAAAATTACTATGAGTAAGTAAAAAATGTAATGAATATTGCGAATATGATGACTGGCTAAATTTCATGCTTGGTTTACTGCTGTTTGAAAGATTTTGGAGTCGCACTCACTCTCGTATTCTACATGCGGAAATGGAAAGCGCTATTTTACCTGTTTGTGCGCTTACTGGCTAAAAAGTAAACAGGCCTAACCCAGTGGTGGATCCAGGAGTGCGGGGTTCCATGGAACTCCCCTTTTTGTGAGATCTTGTGAAGCCAATCGTAGAATGAAATTGGAACCCCCTTTTGTGAAGCCAATCTTACCAGCCTTTTTTCTGCGCGTAGCGGCCATTTTGAACCCCCTTTTTAAAATCCTGGATCCGCCACTGTAACCCATTCATGTTCCTCTTCCATTGATTTTATATTTTCAGTTTTTGATTGGGTGTTTCTTTACCTGATCTTGTACTTTTACAACCATAGGTTTGATGGAACCAGTGGATCTAATATCAGATATTGTGTTTGTCGTGGACTCGTCATCTACAGTAGACCGACCAAACTACAAAAAAGAAAGAGACTTTGTCAAGTCTTTAGCAAGAGCATTAAACGTCGCAAATGGAAAATCCCGAGCAAGTGTCATAACCTACGGTAGAAACACACGAGTGGAAACAAAATTCGACGACTACAGAACCACCTCTGAACTTGAACAAATTGTTGAAGACGCCCTGTACATGGGCGGGGCAAGAAGAATGGACCGCGCCTTGGAATCAACAGCTCAAGTGCTATGGCTTGCCAGATCCCAGGCAAAAAAGATTGTAGTCTTTTTTACTGCTGGTAGACAAGGGCTTGGTGCTAAGTCGTTAGAATCTACAGTCAGGCCTGTGTATGAACGCGGTGCCAAGGTCTTCGTAGTTGCGTTTGGAGAAGAACCCGACATCAAAAAACTGACCACTCTTGTGGAACAACCAGAAGATGTTTTCAGAGTTCCGTCGTTTGATGGTTTGAAAAAACGAGTTGTGCCTACGAGTAGGGTCATTGCGGCGCGATCAGGTGAGTGAAAACATTTTCATTTACAAACTCTTTGGTTTAAAAATAATTAAATGAATGCTTTGTCTAAATGAAATGCAGATACCTAGCCTTTTGACTAATCAAACTTGTCCTGAGATAAAATTCTATAGCGCAGATTTCATTGAGTGCTTTTCGCATGAGTGGGAAACGTACCATTCTGACTTTCAGCAAGGCTTCCCATATTTTCGTACAGCTCATCCAATCATAACAAGTAATTCTGTCTACGGTACAGCTACAGCACGAATTTTATGCATCGTTTCTCACAAACATGAAAACCTCTTTAAGACTATTGAACAAGATAACAAACCACGGTTACGTTACAGGAATCTCAAATCATGTATACCAATAACTTGGTGCGCTGTTACTTCGCACTTATCCACTCAATGCAGAGTAACGAGTTTAATGCTCATTTGTAATACGTGTTTTTCAGGTTTAACCAAAGTCTTACCCAAAAAGTCAATGGCGGACATTGTCTTCCTGGCTGACTCATCTTCAGACGTGCCAAGATGGCGTTTCGATGAGCAAAAAGAGTTTGTTAAAAAACTTTCTAAAACCTTCAATATTGCTCCGGATGGCTCGCGCGCATCGTTCATTTCCTATGGCAGTGCGCAAATTCTTGTCGGAGGATTCCATAACGCGCCATCAGGGTTTGACTCTGCTGTGACATCCACATCGTACGTTGGTGGCAACAGAAGACTTGACCTAGCCGTCAATGCAGCATTAAAGCTTTTCAGAGAATCCCGTCCTGGCGTCTCCAAAGTTCTGGTTCTCATCACAGCAGGAAGAAACAGCCCAGGGTCTGCACCTTTGAACTCTTTCACTCGAAAGCTCCGAGAACTTGGCGTAAATACTTACGTGATTACCATAGGAACGCTTCCTGACGCTGACAGCTTGCTGCCAATCGTAGACAAGAGAAGTGATATCATTCCTGTAACATCCTATGATAGGTTACCTTCTCGATTCAGTGATATACAGTTGATCATTCTTCAGAGTTTCAGTAAGTATTATCTCTGTGTATTGTTTTTAAACATGGCAAGGGTGGAGAATTATGAATACCACCAAATAGAAGCAGGAATCCCTAATGAAATAAAACTAACTGTTAAAACTAGTCATAGACATTTTTATCTGATCTCTTTTGTCCACTTGTTCCGGGTATCTATTTCTAAACTGATTCATGTTTTTCTGTTTTAGAGCCTGTTAAACCATTGGATCTCTCAGCAGACGTCATTTTTATGATTGACACGTCCAGCGATGTCAGTCCAGAAACCATCAAACTGGAGAAAGATTTCGTAAAGACGCTGTCAAAGCAGTTCAACATTGCTCCAGGAAAAACAAGAGTTGCTTTGATAGTGTATGGGGGCAGAGGAGAAGCGTTTGTTAAGGTAAACACGAAGAATACATACTTATGGCGAGCATACTTACGGCAGTAAAACTAATGTTCTAACTATGTTGTTTCTATTTACTTTGTGTCCTCGAATAAGGACACTAGATCGTAAGCTGGGCCATGGTAACGTCATCAGTGCTTGTGCATGACCGCTTAACCTCGTTATTGTAAACTCACCGGCAGCTCTAAGCGCCACCACAAGTAGTTAATCATTTAAGTTCCCCATCATACAATATGGATTTAGCATTGTCCAGCTTCAGCTGTAAAGCTAGATCGGTCCTTTCCTTAACTCTCTTGCTTTCAGTTATATATGTATTTGTGGAATTATTACAAATAAAAGCATTTTATTTCCCACAGCTCGACAGCGGCAGTTCTCCTTCAGACTTTGCATCCCTCGTGGATCGCGCTCCAACTATCGGAGGTCGAAGACGCATGGATAAAGCGTTGGATACTGCATCCCTTATCCTAACAGGCTCACGTCCGAGAGTTCCTAAAATCACCTTCCTATTGACAGCAGGACCACAGGCACCGGGAACGCCTGACAAATATTTGAGCACGGCAGCGAGGCTATTACGAGACATGGATACAAGGACGTATGTAATATCTATTGGTAATCAAGTAATAGAGCGAGAGATCAACAGCATTCCAGAGAAACCGAGGGATATCATAAGGGTTTTGTCAGGCACTGACCTTCCATCGAGTGTAGTTTCTGTGTTTAATGTCATTGTCCAGGATTATGGTGAGTATTTCATTGAAATATACTTCCTTATTTTCTCGTACCCATTACTAACACTTTTTAAAGCCTCTAGTGTTTAAGGGTTGTGTTCATAGCATTTGTTGTGATTCTTCGTTTCTTTGTTGCTGTTTGTATTTTATTGGTGGTAGTGTTGGTGTTGGTGGTTGTGCTGCGGTGGGGTTTGGTGCTAATTGGTAGAAGTGTTGGCGGTATTGTAGCTAGTATTGGTTTTGTAGTCGTCGGTGATGGTGGTGGTGATGGTGATGGTGATGGTGATGGTGATGGTGATGGTGATGGTGATGGTGGTGGTGATGGTGATGGTGTTGTGATAGTGGTGGTGGTGGTGATGGTGATGGTGATGGTGTGGTGATGATGGTGGTGGTGGTGATGGTGATGATGATGGCGTGGTGATGATGGTGGTGATAGTGATTTCCATTTGTTCGAATATCTTTTTGTTGACACATTTTTAAAATCTTACAATGCTTTATTTTCACGTTTGTTTTTCAGGAAAACTAGGTCCAGTAGGTCACATGTACGATGTTGTTTTTGTCATCGACTCTTCCTCTACCGTTGTACCACAAGACTTTGAAAGACAAAAACAGTTCGTCAAATCATTCGCCCGTCAGTTCGGCATATCACGTGACAGATCACGTGGGGCTCTAGTAACATACGGCGCATATGCAAACCTCGACGTTCGGTTTGACGGCTACGAAAATCTAGACGACTTCGACGCAGCCGTTGACGGAGCCACGCGTGTTGGAGGAGAACGAATGATGGGCCGAGCATTAGATATGGCATCGAGAGTCCTTCACGAAGCACGACCAAAAGCCTATAAAGTAGCCATTCTTTTCACGGCAGGAAGACAGAGTCAGAACGCAGGTTCTTGGTTTATGGAATGGGCTTCTCGTTCGTTGAAAAATATTGGCGCAAAGACGTATGTCGTTGCTATTGGCAACCAACCAGACTCCAGAGAGCTTAGACCGCTTGTTGATCGAGACAGTGACATCTTGTCAGTTATTTCATTAGCTAACATCGGTGACCTCACGGGCAGAACGATTACCACGGTAACAGATGGAACAGGTAATGATAATCACTTAGTGATTTTGTTATAATATAGTAAGCAAGTTATATGAATTAGATATTCAAATTCACAGCTTCTAGCAATTATCAATAAAAAAGCTAACAACGACTGTACTACTCATGATTTTGGGTGTTTTTGTAATCAAGAAAGACAAATGGCATGCAGCTTTCCATTGTCTTTACATATAGTTAGCTAGTTAGTTGTAGCTAGTTAAAGTAGCAAACACACGTAGGGTGAAACAACTCTCCTCATCCTTGGAGTTAATTTCGCATGACTGTGAAACGGCACCGCACGCTCAGTGCACTGTCACAATACGGATTGACGTAAGTCCTTTTAACCAGTCATAGCGCGCGAGATGAATGTTCACCAACGGTCACTATCGCGACTGAGACATCGATGTCCGTGTGATGAGTTTTTTTCGCAGTCATACAAAATATCTAATAATAGTAGTTTTGACGTCACTACTTGTATCTTGTTACAGGTCCATTGAAGCCCTCAAACGTCACCTCAGATATCGTGTTCCTCACCGACTCATCATCAGCAGTCACCACCCAAGACTACACCGTACAAAAGGAATTCGTCAAGAACCTCGCACGAACCATGTCAGTCACCCCCGGCAAATCACGTGGAGCACTCATCACTTATGGTTCGTTCCCTCGAACTGTGTTTGGGTTTGATGGATATAAAACCACGCAAGACTTTAACAGGAATGTAGATAATGCGCCTTACATTGGAGGATCCCAGCAGATCGATACTGCTCTAAATGCCGCTAAAACTCTTCTTGATAGAGGGAACTCTCAAGCCGTCAAGGTAAGGTTTACTTTTATCAATAATCATTTGTGATTCATACACGGAATCTCAGATAATCGTGTTCATAAAAGCGTTTTGACATGTATGAGGGGCTAGTCAGTCGCTAGTAGTCAGTCAGGACTTTAGTCATTCAAATTGGTCTCCATATTTCGATTCGTTGTATTCGGTGTATAGACCATTGCAATCAAGAGTGGATGAAGGATAAAAAGTTAGAGAAAAAAGCAAATCCATTGATTCGTGAATTCGTGAATTCGTGAATTCCACAGTTACAGTTAAATCATCTATGATCGCGGATAATAGTACAGACTAATATTAGCTATAGCTTTACTCACACACCTGTGTCACAAATTCCCAACAACTCTGGTGTCGTTAAAAAATACTCATATTCACCTGAATATTTTGACACCCCGCAGGTAATCGTACTTCTGACGTCAGATACCCAAATGACGGATGATACAAGAAGACGTCTGAATGAAGTAACGAAAACTCTACGGTCATCTGGTGTGTTGACGTATGTTATTGCGATTGGTAGCCGGTCAAATGTCAAGGACTTGAGCACAATCGTGGACAGACCCGATGACGTAATGACAGTCAAACAATTCATCGATCTACGACCATACGTGGACAGTGCCGTTCGACAGATCATGAATGGTAAGTTATCTTTTGAGAACGGTTGGCAAGAATTCTGGGGAAGATTTCTTGTGATTTCTTGTGTGATCTCGTGTTATCTAACTTAGCTTAGCAGACTTCGAACTCCACATGAATCTAACCTAAATGAAACAATGGATTGCAAGGCGTCTTCCTTGATGTCATTAGGTTCGGCGTAGGATGTTTGACTTTATCTAGGTTGTGTGAGTGAATGAAGATGTATTTTTCATTGGTGGAGCACGAAAGCCAATTGAGTGAGTCATAGACCTTTTCTGAGATGGAGCACTGTGGTTTAGCTTCTTCTGTTCATCATGCCTTATATGGTGTTGTTAGTACCCAAGCTAGACCACAATGCATCCAGTTTATCGAAGACAGCAAAGATCTATATTTAGTCGAGTTCAGGTTTCTTGTCTCTCATTCGAGTGAGGAGTTGTTGGCGCTTCTATGACAGCAAAGATCCTGACAGCCACTGAGTCTGGAGGGAATAAAGAGACTCTTCAATTAATCTTACAATTAATTTCACAAATATAAAGATAGGAAAAGAAACTAAGAATTATCGTTGTCTCTAAATCAAGGTGTGACTTCACGACTTGACTTCAAAGCTGACATTGTTTTCATGACGGATGGTTCCAGTGAAGTGAGTAGCGCAATTTTTGCGCGAGAAAAAGAACTCGTGAAGACCTTGGCGCGCTACTTCAACGTCAAACCAGGAGCTTCCCGTGCAGCGGTCTTGGTGTATGGTTCTTCGTCTACCGAAGTCCTCCGATTTGGAGCAGATCAGTCCTTATCTACCTTTGATTTTGCTGTTGACCGAGCGCGATTAGTCGGTGGGTCACGTCGAATCGATCGAGTTCTTGAATCCGCTGCTCGGCTTTTCTTCGCCGCTCGTAAGGGCGTTCCCAAGATTGCCGTACTTCTAACAACTGGAGGGCAAGCGGAGGAACTTGGGGCCAAACCATTGGAGGTCGCTAGGCAACCGTTGACAGATCTTGATGCACGGCTTTATGTCATCGGGATTGGTCAAAGGGCTGATGTTCTTCAGATGAATAAGATTGCTTTGTCGCCAAATGATGTGTTTGTACTGCGATTACCAAGTGATCTGCTGTCAAAGGTGTCGACCATAACCCAGCACACAAAGAAGACAGCCAACCAAGGTAAACCATTTTTCAATATTCAGCGTCCAGAGTTTAAAGAAAAGCAAGCACGCGTCTTACATGCAATAAGTCGTTGCGTGATGACGTCATCATGACTAGTATTACCGGAATGCGTCGCGTATTTTCCTTCTTATTTGAACTTTTGTTCTCTGCCAGAATATAAGGCAATTGGTGCTGATCAACTGAATAAAACAAAACGTGTAAGGGATTATGGTAGTTGAAGTACATGATGCTAAAATAGGAATCGCACAAGATGTCGTCCAAAATTCACTCCACAAATGTACGTTGGTCAAGTTTACTACGACTTCAACTATGCGCTTCACCAAATAGATTCTAGGGGCTTCTTATGAAAGCAGGTTGACGCGCCTATAGATCATATCTGCGGTTAATCAACTATTCGCTCGGTTTTCTTTAGGTAAAGTTCGTCGGCCACTTCCTCCCACTGATGCCATCTTCCTCATTGACTCGTCCGACGAAGTGACAACTGATGAATATGAAAGACAGAAAGACATCATCAAATCCATCACACGATCATTTGACATTGGATTGACCAACACCAGGGTAGCGGTAATTGCCTATAGTGACCGTGGAAGGAATGTAATAGAGTTTGACACGCACGGTAACATTCTAGACCTTCATAAGGGTATAGATACCATCCCTTACCTCGGTGGAAGGAGACGACTCGACGTGGCCGTCACAGAGGCTAACGCGTTGTTATCTGAAACGCGACCCAAGGTAAACCATAGCCAAATATCTGAACCTCCCAATAATTCTGTGTTACATTTCCTATCTTACATTCTTACAAATTATACCCTATAGAGCAGTTTTTCGTATCACCGTGAAAAGCAAACGGCACGAACACCGCCGTGACACGTCAAGGCATACACCAGACCAATCAAATTGCGCGAGATTTTACTCTTCATCCAATCAAATGCCCGAAACACGGCATAAACACGCGGACGCGGTCAAGCAAAGGTTACAGCACTGCTCGACCAATCACATTGCAAGAGAAAAAATTAGCCAATTAAAATTCTAGAAAGCATTACGATCACAGCACGGCACGCTTGAGGCACTGAGCTTTTCACAGTCATACGAATACTGCTCTTTGCTCTGAAGATGAATAAACATGTGAAAGTTTTCGCATGCGTCGTTCATACATCTAAAAATGATGTATCGTAATGTTACAGGCCAATAAAGTCGTCTTCCTTCTTACAACCGGTCGCCACAGACCAGAGTTTGGATCGACTCCTCTCCGTACCGCTGCTCTACCTCTACGCGACAAGGCTCAAGTGTTTGTCATTGGCATTGGTTCTCGACCAAACGTTCAAGAACTTCAACAACTAACGAGCAGAGATGGAAATGTGTACATGATTCCTTCATTAGGAAAAATGTTTCCTCAGATTGAGGTCATACAGATACAAGTGACTTCAGGTATAGGTAAGTAAGTCAAAATACAGAAAATTCAAACTGTTCCTTCCTAGACCTCTAGCTTGACCGAAATGTTTCAGACCAGGTGTCATTTTTTTGTTGAATTGTATCCATATTTATGTGTCTTCTCATGCGCAACCGTAGCCTGTGTACATGGCTCTCCGGGGAGGGGTCTGGGAAGGGTTCCGCGGAGGGGACTAACGAGGGAAAAGGGACGGGGACTGGGGAGGAAGGGAGGAAGGGGAGGGGAGAGCCATGTTCACAGGCTAGCGCAACCATTAAACAAAGAAGTAATATTCCCATTCCGTTTTGGTTGAGCCGTTTCTCCTTCTCTCACTACTTCTCACTATTCTCTTATTAGAAAGTCCAAAACAAATGTCAGATCAAAAAATCGACCTCTTATTCGTGGTCGATTCCTCGGATAGCGTTGGAAGAACCAATTTCCTCAAGTCTAAAGAATTTGTCAAAGCATTCGTCAGAGCTTTTCAAGTTTCCCCTGATAAGACACACGTGGCTTTGATCAGATTTGGTGACACCGCGGAACTCAGCATCCGGTTTGGCGAGTACACAAACATCGGAGAGTTTAACCGGGCAGTTGATAATGTTGGTTTTGTTGGAGGACCAAAGAGACTAGATAAAGCTCTTGTTCTCGCTGCGCGCGTTTTACCAAAGGCACGTCCAAGTTCAAAGAAAATCGCAATCATTATATCTGACGGAAAGCAGACTCAAGGACCTGGAGTCGAACCTCTGGATTTTGCAGCGCAACCTTTACACGGGATTGGCGCCAAAGTTTACGTCATTGGAACAGGGCAACAAGTCGACATACCGAATCTGCAAAAGATCATCCAGAAACCGGGAGATCTGTTCGTAAGCAGGTCTTACGATGATTTGATACAACAGATACTTTATTTGATGAGGCATATGACGAAAGGTAAGATTGTTGGCATTAGTTGTTTATCTGTTTGGCTCTTTTTCATGTGAGACAAGGGAGTGATGGGCGTCGTTTTTGTGACTAGATGCTTTGAAATATGTAACTGCTCTTACTCGTTTTACATTTGATGAAGCAACATATCGCGCTTTACGGCCCCTTATTGCAGGACAAAAAAATTTTTTTTTTCATTTATGATTTAAAAAATTTTTTTTTGTGCAAACAAAAACATTTATGTTTCTGCACTAGAACATGGCTGCCTTGAAACCTCAGTCTCTATAATAAACTGTTTCCAAGAGACGCTCCCCTCTGTCTTTTTCAGGTCCAGCAACAAGTCCACCGGGTTACATCTCAGACGTCATGTTCTTGGTTGACTCATCTGATTCCTTAACCAACCGAGAGTTTGAGTACCAAAAAGATTTCCTTCGAGAAATATCCAGGCGTCTTCGCGTATCTCCGGTTGCCACACGAGCTGGATTCATAACATATAACGACAATGCGCAACTCCGTATGAACTTTAATTCGTATAACACAACAGCCGAGTTTTATTATCAGCTATCGCAGATACGTAGGGAAGGAGGTGGTCGGAGACTTGATAAAGCTATAGAGTTAGCTGGACAGACGTTTGCTGGAGTGCGTCGAAACGCGGCAAAACTCTTGATCATCTTCGCTAAAGGCAGTGCAATAACAGATCCAGACTCTAAACCACTTTCGGAGGTCATGAGACCCCTGAAAAACCAAGGTGTAGTGAGTAATGTTCTTGCTATCGGGTCTGAAGTAGATGTTGAACAACTGACTAGCATTGCTTTAAGGCCTGAGAATATTCTTATTGTGGATAGCTATGGCGCGCTGAGGAACCAAGTCGAGAGGATCTGGAAGCATATTGGTAAGTACAATCAAAATTTGTAAACTCTTATTTAGTATCTTTAAGAGATCGCAGACATATGAGGTTAAACCAAATAATAAGACAAGATAGGGACTGACTGACTGACCGACTGACTAACTGACTGACCGACTGACCGACTGACCGACTGACCGACTGAC